TCCAGTCAGTCAGTCAGGAGGGGTGATGGGGGGTGGAGGATGCAGGAGGAAGAGGAGGATGATGAGGAGGATGAGGAGGTGGAGGAGGAGGAGGAGTGGTGATGAGCGCAACGGCGCTGCACTGGATACATTCACTCGCGACGGCGAGGGCGCACGTCTGCAAGCAACAAGCAAACGTTGAGGGCGCGCCCCTGCAAGCAATGTGGGGAAGGACAGGCGCAGCGGAAAACTGTGCACCACAGAGCGAGTATGCTGGCGCGCCGACACTGCGCGCGAGCTGCCGTGGATCCGAGGGGCAACCATTGCGCGCGAGTTGCCGCGGAGCCGAGCGCCGCGACACGCGCAATCGCACGCCCACTATCGTTCTCTCACAGTCTGTATATATATATAGATACACGTATGTATATCCACCTCTCCCTCTCTCTACCTCTGTATATGTATGTAATCTTCCGTTTATCTCTCTCTCTCTCTCTCCCCATCTCTCTCTCCATCTCTATCTCTCTCTCGCTCTCTCCTCTCGATCTCTCAGTCCCTCTCCCTATATATATATATATATGAATGTATATCCACATATCTCTCTCTATATATATGCCCATCCATATGCCCCTTCCAAGTGGGCGAGCAATGCGCAACTGCCGCGAGAAAGTGGCCTCGCGAACGTTTCTTGAGAGGGTTCTCCTCTGGTCCCTCAGACCTCAGAATCAGCAGGCCGCTTGGGTGCGTCTGACCACTGGAGCTCCTGCCCCGCAGTCACAACCTTCGAATTGAACATGCCAGGGAACAGAACCGACTCAGCCTTCGGGCCAATGCCCCTGACGTTGGGGCCAGGAAACGGGCCAGAAGCAGACGCCCCCTCACTTGAAACATTGACGCGCAACGAGCCCATGGCCACGTTGCCGCCAACGGCGGCCTTCCCGACGTGCCAAAACGGCGCGAGAAAGCCAGCCTTGTCCTTCGAGGGCTGCTCCGAGCGAGGGTTGAGCCACACTTGGAGCGCCCTCCCCTGCGCATCCTTCAGCGAAAGCTGCGGGATGACGACGCCTGT